GAGGTAAATGAGTAATGAATGTCATGTCTCTGTTTTGGGAGATTGTGTATGAGGTCTACATGACACAGGAAAGTGGTCTACGTGGCACAGGAAGGCCAGGTACTTTGGGATTATCAATAAGTTGTCTAAGAGTATAAAAGACTGTAAACAACTGCATTTCGGGGTTCAGATTTTTGCTTGCCCAATCGCTACTGAACCTTTGCACAAATAAACCTTTCCCTCTGACAAAGAGCTGGTCTTGTCTCATTTTCTGCTACAATACTGCTCATAGTTCTTTTTTATTAACATTTGTATGAGAGGAATCAAGCATGGTAAAAACACGATAGCTAGGAATCCTAATATTGCAAATCTTGCTAAATCTTTCCAATTTGAAAACCACCCACAAAACCAATCATTTACCCCATTTAAAGTTAGCCCTTTCCAGATTTGGACCAGAACATGGGCTAGTTTTATCATTCGGTCTGTAATTTCCTTTACTACTTTCCCACTCTCATCTATTTCAATACAACAATTACTCAAATTAAATTTTCCACACACACCTCCTTCTTTAGCTAGTAAATAATCTAAAGCTAATATATTCTGCATAATATAAGTCCGAGACTTTACACTCTCCTTAGCTAAATGTTTTAAAGTACTTACTGTGTCCTTAGTTAATACTTTGAGCACTGCTTGTAATCAAATTACCCTTTTTAAAATGTAGATTGGCTCTCTGGCACCTAAGGTACCATCTTCTGCCCATGTGGCAGGTCCATGATAATTGATTACCTTCTTTGGAGTCCATTCATCATCTTTCCACTCTCTGATCTGTATATCACTTGGTTGTACAGATCTTTTTTCTTGATTTCTGCTTGATAAATCATCATATACAGTTAACCCCAGCAGTTGTTTTTGTTCAATGGGTGCGGGGGGGGTTGGTGGGTGTGGCGGGGGGGGGAGGAAAACGTTTGGCTTAATGAATCCCAATATACAAGATCCATTCCATCCCTTAGGTAAGTATCCATAGGCATACTTTGCACACATTCAATACATACCTTCCAGGGCGACCCCTTCCATGGTATCACTTTCAGGATCTTTCAGATAAGCCATTTCAGTTATTTGACTTAGTGTTTCCTCTTCTTTCATAGTTCCACTTCCTCCCCACCAACTCTTGTTATTCCGTACAGTTAGGCAAATCATGTCTCCTACTGCTACCTTTCTGTTTCCTTCTTCTTTCTCTCGTAGCACACTCTCCTTACTAAATTCGTTGTCAAAGCCCAAGTCCCCTCCTTACCTTTTGAAAATTTTTAAGTTGTATTGTTCCACATCTCTACCACTGTATCATGGTTTAATTCATGTGCTTCCCACGGCCACTGTTCTCCCATGTTTGTTCCTCCACACAAAAACCAGTTCTTTACCGTAAGAGGTTTTTTTTTTTTTTTGCAATCTCTTCAGCACAAACATATCTACTGTCAAATGGAGTCAGATCTTAGGGAATTCAGGGAATTCTAATTTTTCAAATTCCTGGTAGTATGACTACAATATACTTTTGTGTATTGATTTTAGTTTTGTCGTTTCGATTTTCAATACTAGTCAAACCCCTGGATCTTTTCCTTTTCCATCTATTCCAATTCCAAATTCTTTATATTGTGTTCCATTTTCCAGTGATTAATTGGTGCATAAACACCTTACACCCAACACACAATACACAATCAATACAATGAGAACAACAACAACGTCCACAAGTACAATTACAAAACCAACACATCTGGGATGGCACACTATGGAATTTGTTAAATCATGGTTTTCTTCAGTTGAGGGAAGAGCATAGGCAACCACTCTGCTCTACATAGCAAAAACACAAAAATTAGTCCGAGTACAAATATTACCCTTCCTATGGGTAAGTTGATTGTCCACCAGTCAATTAAGTCCATTGAAACTTCAACTTCAGTGGGTCTTCTTGGTGAGACTCCACCTTCCACTCCTTTGGGGCTGGCATGGGCCCTCTCATTCAGAAGTAATGAGTCCCTTTTTCAGCAGTCCAAATTTTAGTCCCAGTAGTTAACAAGACAATGAAAGGTCCTTCCCAAGTTGGAGTTTGTTTTCCATCTCTCCAGGCCTTTATCAGCACTCACTGTCCAAGTGTGGCATTTGCGCATGAATGCCTTTTTGTCTTAAGAGAGAAAAACACCTGGACAGTTCCTGTACACATTTTCTAACAATTTTGTCTTTTAATACAATTCTTGGTAAACCTTCCCTCCCCATATATGGTATTCCAAATAACATTTTGAATGGTGATATTCCCACTTCTTTCCTCTGGGTACGATATGTTCCAACAAAATTCTAACAGTAGTATTTGCATTTGCCGGGGTGGCTTGTTTTGCGCCTGCGCTGGGAAGATGGCTGCCTGAGCTTTTCGCTCCGGCTGAG